GCTGACAGCACATGCTCCAACCCCATTCATAAGGATATGTGAGCCTCGATTTTGATTCCAAGGGAGCTCTACATTGGTACCTTGAACTTTCAAGCTTATAAGTGCATCGCTGAACCCTACTGCCCTGTCCGATTTGCTAGGCAATTTGGGCTTACTCAAGGAATTTATGTTCCTCTCTATAGTCAAACTAACACCAATCTTGCAACCAGAGAGCTGAAGGTGCCAAGAACTAGGCTGGATAAGGCAACTTCTAAGTTGATACAAGACTTGGTCGAATTCAAGTTCACTTCCTTCATCCCACACAGCACTGCATTGAGGAGGTACCAGAATTGGTAGATAGCCAATATGGAGGTGTTTCTGGCTATCTCTCATCGGGATCTACTAGTAGAACTAGATGTGCCCTCTCAAGCTAAGTCCAAAGAGACTGGGACCACTACTATTGCCTTCACTGCCCCTGTCATTCCAACTTTTACTCCTACTGTCCCCGTGTCTGCTCTTACTGTCTCGTCTCATCCAAGAGTCACCAGGGCTACTTCAAAGAAAGGTATGAATTTCTATTTTCCCTTTGTCTTTCTTTTATGATGCCTTGCTTATTTACTTATAGCTTATATTCTTGGTGCGGGAGAGCCACAGGAAGACTCCCTTTACAGAGCTCAAGCTTTGAGCATTCTTAAGGGCAAGTAACAACAACAGAGGAAAAGGAAAGTCTTGTTTGATCCTAAAGAAGAAGCACCTAAAATCCCCGCAGAAAATGAGGAAGCGGCAATGGAAAAAGAAACTCTACTTAAGAGTATGAAGAAAATGACAGTTTCTCCTACTGATTTTTCTCAGGACCTTACTCATAAGGTAGCTGCCAAGGCAATGGAGCAGGAGCATTCCAAAGAAATTATTGTTTTCTATAGGTTTGAGAAAAGGAGACAGCAACAAATGTAAAGAGAAAAGGTTGCTGCTGCTGAAGCAATACAAAAGAAGGCTACAAGGAAGAAACAAACTACTGAGCTCTATGCCCTTCACAGTTCTTCAATCATCACCATTACAACCTCTGAAGCTGGTAATTTTTCCGTAATTCCTTTTAATCCCCTCTCCAGGACTTTACAAAAAGTTAACATTTTCTTTCTATTTTCTGTTATGCAGCAGCAGTCATTCCTCCTTAGACATTGGCTTTTTCAGCCTCAAAAGGAACAAGAAAGGCTCATACTGAAGTGCCAATGAGTATAGAGCCCATTCAAATAATGTTTCCACTTCCCAGCTCTATACTCCCCATGCCTTCCTCTTTGAAGCAAAGCATCCCACCTTTCTTATACCCAGGCTTAACTCCATTTCTGCCCATCTATCTTTCCTCTCATCTCATCTTACTCCTCCTATAGTCTTGGCTGCCCCTTTATCACCTGAGAGAATTCCAGTTGTCACTTTATCTTTAATGGTAACTGGTACTAGCAAAGAATACATTGGTGGCTCACCAATTTCTTTCTCACTATTTAGCTCCAGTCCCTCTTCCCTTGACTTGCTGGTGGCTGGGACAATGGACACTACTAGGGACTCCTCCACTCTTTCTCCTATCCCTAGGTTTCCATCTCTTCCTTCAACTAGTGACTCTTCTGTATTGCCAATATCAGAGGAAGAGATGGACATCTTCGAGGCTCAACTGGCCAGCTTATTTGGCATATCTTCACTAGTTCAAGCACTAAGCAGTGAGACTAAGCCATTGGTCCTTGCAGACTCTCTCTTGGAAATTATTGAAAGCTCCTCAACTACCACCGAAGCTTCTTTGCCTCAAAGGGATTTGGGCACTCACTTGGACCTTCTGCAATCATTCTCAAGGATTCCATTTGAAGTCTTACAAAAGCCTATTATTAAAAATGGTTTCCTTAAGTGTTGCAAAGTGTTTGAGCAGTCCAACATGGCCTTCTCAAGTCACTTATCCCAAGTAGCAGCCACCTTAGATTTTTATGTCAATATCTGCCAGATGGCCAAAGCTACAGAAGAGAAACTATTGAAAGATAAGGAGTTTGTCTCCCATATACATGCTGATGTGTTTGAATTAAAGGGACAACATTCTGATGCCTTCTAGTTTTGAACCCAACTTTTGGAGAATAAAGCCCAACTGGAAGAGGAGCTAGCCGCAGCCAATCTAGCCTTAGATCGAAATGCTAAAAAGCTGCAAATTACTAACCAGGGACTGGCTAATAGAAAGCAGGACATAGCTACAGTCATTCAGTTGTTCCCATCCCTTAGGAGTAACGAATCAATTGTAAGGGAACAACTGAAGCATTGTACTGATTTGTGGGCCAATTTGTGGCTTCATGTACTTAGTTCATTATGAAATGAAATCCTTATTTATTATTTGAGTGTTTCATGCTCTTTTGTTTATCCTTACTTAGCATTTCTCACACTTCTTGTGTCTCCCACATAGTTGGATAATAAGGCTTGAAGTATCTGCCATTAATTTTCTTGGGATGCACATAACCATTTAAATTTCTCAGATGGCAGGCTCCCCCAGGAAGGACTTTGACCTTTCCCAATTAGGTGACCATTTGCCAAATTTCTGGCTCTTAATACCTACTGGAAGTATTATCTTCCATACCAAGTCACCTTCATCAAAGCTAATGTGCTTAATTTTTTTATTATAACTCTTGGCTGCCTTTTTCTTTTGGAAGAGGATATTATTTAATGCCAAAATTCTAGTTTCATCTACATTCTCTAATTCCAAGAACATGCTTTGATGATATCGCCGAGTAGTTAACTGGTCTTGACATTTTACCCTTAAGGACTTAATATTGATTTCTACAGGCAGTACTACATTATGCCCATATACTAAGGCATAATGAGTGATCACTATACTTGACCTAGGAGATGTCATGTATGCCCACAACACATGTCACGACCCGCTCCCCGTACCCAAGGGTTAAGCATCGTGATGGCCAGTAACTGAGGTTACCGTCGGCCAATTCTTAAACAAATTAATAAACGCGAGCGGAAATAATATTTAAGTGAGGGTACCAAAATAATCATTGGAGCTTCTATTTTTATTACAAAATTTATTGACCAAAAAGGCCGATATTTACATATAAACATATCATAAAAGTGTTGTGTGTGTCTATTCTGCAGTCCCGCTTCTAAGACTTTCCAAAACTATTTCTAAATTGCATTGTTTCCTAAAAATTGGTAAACAGCTATAAGCACATGGTAGAGTGAGAAATATTATGCCAAGAGTATAAAGGACACAAAATAACCATGAATAGTTATGTAACTAAAATATTTAAGATAACTTAGTCTGAACAAATAATCATTTAAGTAGCCAAACTGAGATTATGTAAATAAATAACCATAACCACAGTACCAAACAGAATAGAACAGAAGTCACAGGAGTGACAGTCAGAACTGAGATACGGATTCAAGAAGTGGCTTGTACAAATTATAGAGGTGGCCCTTACAATAGTGTAGCACTTATCTCCACGCAGCACTTTGCGTATGGACTCAAGAGGTGACTCGTACGAACTCTAGAGGTGGCTCCCAAAATAGTGTAGCACTTAGCTCCGTACTAGAAATTAGAGGGTCAATGGATTCATAGCAATACAAAGGTACTTATTCAAGAGGTGACTCGTGCGGATTATAGAGGTAGCTCCCACAATAATCTAACACTTATCTCTGCAGAGCACTTTGCTCCGCACAGAACAGAGGTCAATGGATCCATGGCAATAGAGGGCCATAGAGTAACCAAACAGAAAGCAATGGTTATTTAAGTCCCCCAAGGCGTGGGACTCCCGTGGTGATACTTACAAAACATAATTGTTTATAAGGTCGTTGTCAAATATTCTTTAAAATATAAACAAACATATCCATCTGTTTCATTTTATACAAATAGGGCTTAGAAAATAATCCACGTAACTGAAATATTAATATGATTTATAAAACATAACTTGTATAAAATAAATTATGGTAAGTCAAAACATACGTAAAATATATTATGGTGACTCAAGGTATAATATAACTCACCTTAAAAGTTGTACCTTACTCTTTCTTTCCATTACCAAAGATCCTCTCGGCTTCCATTATTTTTTCCTTCCTTTTCTTCCTTTCTTTCCCTTCTCCTTCCTCTCTTTCTTTCTTTCCTTTTCTTTCTTTCCTTCCTTCCTCTCTCCTTCCTTTCTCTCTTTCTTTCTTTCCCTTTCTTTCCCCTAAGTTGATCACTCCTCCCTATTTATAAAGAGGTAAGAGCATACGTGACCTGCGTATCCTCTCACAGATTCGTCCATTAATTATATAGATTCATACTTATCTTTAATAAATATTTAAGATAATTATACTTTGGCTCAATTTTTTAATATAATTATATACATAAATTAATCCCTAATTAAATTACACTCTATCATATACCAACAGTAAATTAATTATTTATTTTACTACCACACCCATTATTATTATTTTTATTATTATTATTATTATTATTATTATTATTATTATATTTATTTATTTACTATCTTTAACTTTAATATGGCTCAATTAGTATTATAATTTCATATTTCTGTTAATTTGGCCTCAAATAATAATTCCTAATTAATCCCATATTTGATAATCCAATGCCAAATTAGATTATGTATTTATTATAATTTATTTAATAATATATTATCACTTACAACCATAATACTAGTCACTACTAAAAAAAACACTTTTTGCGACCGCTATAAACCGTCGCAAATAATAAAAAACAGTCGCAAAAGACTTTTTGCGACAGCCCATGCTACGGCAAACAGGGTCGCGAATGTGGGGGTGGCAAATACTTTTTGCGACGGCAAAGCAACGGTCGCAAATTATTTGCGACTGCCTAAACTACTTATGGCGATCGCTACTTTGCCGTCGCAAAAAACAAAAAAAAACACTAACATGATTTTTGACGGCCATCTTGTTACCGTCGCAAAAAAAAAAAAAAAAAAAAAAAAAAAAAAGAAAGTGTAGTGTTAAGCACTCTAGGAATAGCAATGACAAGAATTCAGACAGTATAGCATTATAATTTAATTGAACATTCCATTTGAGTCTCAAAATTTGAGCCATATGTGAAAGTTATTACAACTAAAAACTTGAGAAAAGTTCTTTTATGAAAAAAATACAATCCAGAACTGGCCAATCTTCTCATCAATTTTCTTTTCAAGTTCCACATCACCACATTGCACCTATGCAACAAAAATTTCAGGCATTAATGATAAAAATTATACACTGCCAAAATAAAAATTATCAATTTTAATCACTCCTCTGAGTATAGTGCAATTAGATTGAAAAAAGGTAACATGTCACAATCCAGATTTCAAACAACAGGAGACTATATATTTCTTATTACAAATTTAACAACGAGATATGCAGTGCAAAACCTGCCACGGTTTTAATATAATTCTACAGGCACATGGTCAAAACCGAATCAAGTACAAGACAAACCACACTTAGCCATGTTTGAGAATGTGAAAGTAGTGGTGTTATTTTCTTTAATCTCTAAATGTTAGATCCAGACAAACCACACTTTGTCCCTAAATTTTAGTCTCTAAAACCTTAATTTTTTGTACTGTCATAAGCATGAAACTAGGAAGCATCAACACTAGAGCTTAGAATCAACATCTTTAAAGAAATTAATCAAGTAGTTCAGATATTTCTATGGATCAGGGACATCCTTATTTCGTTTCTCATACTCTATTGTAATTTTCACCACTTTGGTCTGTCCCTTGGGAATGATTTGAAAGATCTGGTTATAACTCTTATAGAACTCCAAGCAATCTGTTCCCTCCAGTGCTCAAATGGACTGTTTTGTCCTCTTCATCTATGGAACAATGCAGTTGGTTTTCAGCTTTATTATCCCAGAATCCCTTTTCTAATAACAATGTAGTTGCTGCTTCATAGATGTTCTCTTTTAAAGAAACATGCCTCAATTAAGCACTCCGTTAAAGAAGTCTAACTTGAACTAAGCATAGATGCTACCCCATGTCTCCATCAGCACTAACTCATGACTAATTGAATGACTATAAGGATGCCTAAAAATAATTGTCTTACTTCCTAAAAGTCATTTTCTGGTGCCATCAACATCTAATCTGGGACATAATTCAGAAACAGTTCATTGCTGTCATAATAAACTTAATTCAGAAATTGTTTGATTGGTTTAGGCCAATGTGCAGACTAGCATAATAAACATATTAAACAAAGTATGAATTCAACTGGTATTCAGCAAGTCAATGTTTTCAAATGGCAAGATATCGCAGCAATCAGTACAGACAAACAGGAGACACTAGAATCATAGTTTAATTAATACTTCTGTTCACTATCCCAAGAAAAAGACCCATTCTCAAAATAGATACGAATTCACTGATAATTGAACAATATAAGGGATCCAAATTGAACAAACAGCACACACACATACATATAACAGAGAGAGAGAGAGAGAGAGAGAGAGAGATTACCTAGAGATTGGACCTGATAAGAGAGGAAGAGAATGGAATGTACAAGGACAAGGAGAAGAAGATGATGTCTCTGAAGAAAACCTATTTGCAATTGAATCGGATTACAGAGTCTGAAGAAAACCCATTTGCAGTACCAGATTGGTTCATATGATAGGCTCTAGGGATAAATTTCTGACCTAATACGACATAATACATGGGGAAATATAGTGATATCCTTCAAGAACTTCATACACAGCAAATATCATAAATACAAGCAGAAATATAAGGGAAAAGAGTAGTATTCCAAAGAGATATTCATATGTGACAGTTGCACAGCAGGGTTGCATTACCTGCTCTGATGTGGCATGAGCACCATAATGAATCTCTTTGCGAGACAAAGAAAGATCGAACCTGAACACCACCAATGCAGAGGGAAGTTACGGCCATACATACCACAATTGCCACCACAAAAAACTACTGAACAATGTTGAGGCCATACATACACCCAAAAAGAATTGATTTAAAATGCTAATTCCATAACAACGACTCTCAGAGAAATAGGCAACCTAATTCATAATAAGCTGAAAAATTCATTAAACGCAGAGAAATGCATACCTATTCATTTTCTTTTGAAGTTTGTTGCCCACTAGATGCATCTGACACCTACAATATGTTAGTATAACGTGTTAATAATTTCCATATGTATATATACAAATTGATAAAACGTAAAATTTGTCAATTTGTAAGTATTGCACCTCTCTCTCTCAAGCTCATAATTTCCATATGCTGCTTCTTTCTTTCTTTGGCATGTGGCCCTCTTGGGCCCATACTCCCTCCACCACTAGGTCTGATGGTTAACAAAGAGAACATGTTATTGGTCATAGGATAGAAAGATCACCACCCTCTCTGCATTGCCAAATTGGCAAGTCATAGAGAGACAATAGACAACCACTCCACAAATTATACCAATGAGACTATACTTCCAAAATTATATCACATATTCAGACTAATCTACCCCGGGTCTTAAAACATAGGAATCCTTATCTTCTATAACCTTCCACCATTTAGAACAAGGCAACCTTCGTTTACCTCATTATGACATGTGTTTGCTAATAGATACATCGCCAAATGCCTTCGATACAAGTGTCACGGGACTTCCCTATTAAGTGTTTTATGGACCAGCCAAAATGAGCCAAATATTTCACTTGCTGATTACCAAGTTTCTCAAGTATAATGAGGGACAAAAATGTGCATTTAAAATAGCCAAACTTACCTTGGGATTACTAGGGTTGAAACCCCACACCGAATTTACATCATCATTATTGTCAAAGGTACCCCAGGATGGCTCATCAAAACTTCTGTTCACAAAGGATAAGACTTAGAACCACCAAAATTATGTAAGGAACATACAGGTATGAGAAGTGATGAGAAAAAAAATACAAATCAACCCCCATACCTATGGGTTTTCGCATCTGCTTTGGGGCTCTTTTTGAAATGGTTATCTGAATATTCTCGAGATGGACTTTCGAATGCTGTATGTCTTGCTGGACTGCTAGATGGACTTTTGCCTGATTCATCTTCACTATGAGTGTATGCTGATTTACTTTCGAAGGCATGTTCACCTTTACTGAAAAGTTTATCTGACATGTTGTCATCAGCATGTGACATCAAATCAGGGGACAAACTACCATTCGGAGAATAATTTTCTTTCTCGGCAGAAGTGGATTTGGTTTCGGGCGGCATGGCAACATCAAATGAAAATCCTGGAAGTAACAGACAATGCATCAGGATGTATATGCAATTCATAGATTTACCAGTCAACTCTTGCGTTATTAAATAAAAGATTGAGGCATTTTCAAAAGAAAAGAAAAAAATACAAGAGCTCATGAAGC